GAGCTTTTCCTATGTACAGTAACAATGTACAAATTGGTTATTAGAGTGAATTTATATTATATTACATCAGACCAGTCATTCAGTAAACTGTGTTTGATTTTTAGCAGATGAATGTGTCTCTCTGAGGGCACAAACTGTATTTAAAGGCAAAATTTATGAGGTAGTAACCATTCCTGCTAGCTGCACTGTTACTGCTGAAATGAGGCATTGGCTCTTATTGAAATTGAATGGAGTAATTTTTGTTGTTTTTGACGTCTGTTGATCAAGAATGTTCTGTAAATGTTTATGGACTCTCTGCTCAGTAACTATTAGAATACACAGTGATGGATGCAACAATGTTGGTTCAATGTAATTGTGAAAAATGTGCTCAAATTATGCTGCTAGCACCTAACCATGTGAGAGATTACATGGCCACACATGAGTACGGTGTAAATATCAAGAATTATATAAAGAGATGTGTGTTACTTTGTTGTTATGTAGGATGCTTATTCTTATAAAAAATCAAAACCACAAAAAGACAAATGTGGTCCTCATTAGAGTATCAGTTAGTACTTGATTGTGTTTTGTACCTTTAAAAAGTGTTGTGGGACTTTTGCCATGTAGGACAATCTTGTTATCTGTCATTTTAATGACCTTTTTACTGTAATTGATTATTGTCATGGACTAATGAAATGTTTTTTGTAAAACTACATTTTGGTTGTACATAATCTCATACATATATTATCAATATAGATGCAGAAATACACATCCCTAAGCTTTTCAAAGACCCAGCACCGTTTATATTTTCAAGTATTGAATTTTCTCACAAACTGGGGGTATGATTTTTGTCTCTGCCTTTTCATATATGCTGGCATCCCTATATATTCCAGATCCCCATAATTTATCAACATTCACTTTTTGCATATATAATTTATGTTTGTAGATAAATACTTGGAAGAGTTCCCAGAATTTTTAAACAGATGTAGAACACCTGGATACAGTTAGGCACTTCCTGTGACTACTTGGATGAGGAGCTTTGCAAAGGACAGCTCCCGTAATGCTCCTGCAGCTGCTGGGTAGTCAGTGGCTTAGCTGGTTTGAAACACAGCCTAAACCTTAACTCTAGAAAAGGATACTGTGTCTTTTCACTTTTCTACTTGGCTTTACTCCTAGCAAGTCAGTAAGAGGCTGCTGCTGCTTATGTGGTCTCCCCCAAATCTCCATTGCCGCATTTTGAACTCCCTAAGTTCTTCCACATGCATTTGACAGCTGAGTGTCATAAAACCTCAAGCTTTAATAAGCTCCTTGTTTATGATTTTATGAATTGTTACCCTGTAAGTAGTCAAAACAATTAAAAATTGATATCATGTTGTAAATCAAGAGATAATCTATGACTATTAGTAGTTTCAGAAAGGGATGGTGTTACAATTGTTTTTTCCATCTTGGTAAATGTATTTTTTCAGTTTTAAGGAATTTCAGTCTTTGTTACACTCACTAAAAGCACTGCCTTTTACTCAGAATTTTTGCCATTGGTCACTAAATGTCACTAGTTTCTTAATGTATCTGCTGCAATACCAAAGTCAATCCTCCTCAAATAAACCAAACATTTCAAATCATTCAGAAGTTTTCTTCTCAACAGCTTCTCCTCCAGACCATGGTTGCTGATGGCTTCTGTTTCAGTAGACCTCTTAAGCTGGGGAGTTTTTACTGAATTCCTGGATTATAATGCCGTAATAGAAGCTGAAATATTTTTTAATCCTTACATGCAGAAGCAGCCTAGATGTAGTGGAGGTCAGATCGTTGTTTTCGGTGTGTGCTGTCCATAAGGCCTCCTTTAGTGTGCAATTCATCAGGTAGCAATAGGAGGAAGAATGGAAGAGGGTACAGTGGAGGATTCCAGCTATAGAATACGTCTGGATTCAGCTCCATAGCTCCCACTCTGACTGTGGCCTGACACCTTCTGAAATGCAAAAGACATGAGTGTGACTAAACGACTCTTTGTTAATTCTAGTAGGAGAAAATGAGGCCATGCAGCTAATGTTGTTAATTTTTCGATGCAGTATATTGCATCAGAAAATTAATGACATTAGTCAGCTAGCTCTTGAAACCACTTTGTCATACTTTTTAATCTATGGTTAATACATAAAAAATTAGGTTACCTGGAAGTCTGGGAAATCAGAAACAAAAGCAAGCACTTTCTCATATGAAAATTGAATTATTTTTAAAGACAAATAATAAATAAATTCTGAGTTGATTAATATGGTATTGTATGTGAGAGCGTGCTTACATTTCCTGCAGTTGACAACATAAGGAGAAATGCAAAGCAGCAGAGGTAAAGAAAACTATTTCACTGCTATTGTTGGGAGGTTGCATGGTTGAAGTGGAACATGCCTCCCATTCATATGTGCTTAGAGTTGGAACCTTTTGCTCTAGACCTTGTCATACTCACTCATTTTGGAAAGATATTTATTTGACCAAATAAATTTGTTTCAGCAGCTACTCCTGGGATGACCCTCCTTGCTTCCTATACTGTGGGAGGCAGTAAAACCAGGAAAGGCAAAGAGACAGGGCAAGTAAAACCAGGAAAGGCAAAGAGACAGGGCACAGGAGAAATGTGATTGGCAGAAGAACTTAGGAGTGGATAGAATAGAAACCCCCATATTTCAGTCTGTGATTTCATTGATTCAGTAAAGAAAGCCAGATGCCTTCAATGCTGTTCTGGGTATCAGATATCTGGCTTCAGCAACGGAAGAAAAAAAATCTCTTCAGTTAAGATAGTCTTTTGCTAAGTAATTATGAAGTTTAGTCTACTTCTAAGGGTTCCGTGCTGGTGGATGTTCTAGAATATTCTTACCTGTTTTCATCCAGTACTTAGTTCCTAACCTAGCCCAAATATTTCCATCCATACTTTAGAGGTGTGGAATGTAGTTCAGTCCCTGAGTTTGATTAAATGTGTCAGGTTTTTTGAAAGTAGGCTTATTTTTATGATTTTTTTATTACATTTTAAATCTAATTTTTGTACTGGAATTCAGTGCATAGGTTTGTAGGGCTCCAGTTAATACAAGAGTCCCTCCAGTGCTGCACAGCTGGATTTGGTCTGCTGGTGCCCAAGTTATTCATACAGCTTATTTGCAGAGTCCTGACCTCCAAAATGCTCCAAAATAAGCTAAGGGTGTGCTGCATGGCAGGTTACTTGCCTTTGATGATCAGATGCAGCCTGTGGACTTTCCCTTCTGTGCTTCCATGTTAAGGTCATTAAGAATACATTTTTGGAAGGTGTGTGAGCATCTGGCTATATGGCCAGGAATTCTAACAAAAGCTGTGTGAGACTGGCAGCACTCAGGTGATTTCCTTGTATCCTCATCACAACTTTGGAGGCATCCTGATAGAATTCTACAGAACCCACATTAAATTGACTCAATGATATAAACTCAATTCAGGTACTAACCTTTTCTTCCCTTATCACACTTCTGTCTTTGAACACAAATTCAGGGGGAAAGAAATCAGATGCTGCAAAATTGGCATGTGGGCTATGTTGGCCTCACCCACATCACATAGTTGTATCTCTTTCTGAAAATGCTGCATGGCATCAAAAAGAATAAAAATTGCTTTGCTTTCTTGGCTTTTCTGCTTCCAAGATAGGTTCTCATCTTAAGTAATCATGACAGTTTTGGTCCTCTCAAAACACAAAAGAATTTATATTCTGAAGCAATTTTCATGAAAATTATGAATAGTATTTTAAATTAAAAAGCAGGAATTTGACAGTATTTGTTGGTGGAGTTTCTTTAACTGAAACATGTAAGAAAACATACATGATAATCTAATTATTATTCTGACATTTTGTAAATGCAAAAATAAAAACTCTTCAATTGTCAATCAGTTTTTCCGATGATATAGAACTGTGTGAAGCAACTCAAATAGTGGTAAAAGAAAACAAGGTCTTCAAGGTTATAAAAATTGAAATCCTTTTGTTTATTGTCTTAAAACAGAATAATTTATAATTAAATTTTATTTTATAATTAGAAAAAATGCACTGTTTAATTGATGTCAAAGTTGAGAACTAAAACAATTGAAACTATTAAATGTGAAATAAAGGCAAAATTCTCTTTTTTTCTCAGTCGTATTGAAAAAAGAAAAAGCTGACGCACAGCATGGAACAGGGAGAAGTAACAGTCAAATAATGGTAAATGAAGTGGAGTAATCTTCAGGGGGAAAATGGAGGAATAAATAAACAATTGCAATATCAATTTGATCTTTTAAAAATGTATTCACTGGGGAAGTTTCTTGGGGAAAAAATTCAGAGGGGTTGTAAGCTTTGGATCAGTGTCTTTAAATGGGAAAGCTGGCAATCCCATTAGTGCTTTAAAATGAAAGCAGAAAAGAAAGGCCTGTGCTGAATACTTCACTGTATATGGGATCATTAAAAAGTAGAGATAAAAGAAGAGTCAGTGAAGGGGGAAGGAAGCCATGGGAGATGAGGTTAATTCAAATTTTAAATATTAACATACTGTTCACTAAAGTTGGAAAGAAAAGGTCTGTTGGAGCCCTATGGTACACAATACTCTTCAATATGCATTTTGCACATGTAGGTATTTAACTGGAAAATTCCTCCCTGCATGATATATGAAGATGTGCAATTATAGATGTGTAATCAATAATGACATTGACACCAGAGCAAAACTTTCTGAAATGAATTTTTATTCATGCATATATTGCACAAGACATCATATCCTGGATTTCATACCAGACTTGTTTTCTAACTAAAATAGTATAAAATGAATTATTTAAGTCTTCTGGTTATTTAAATTTTCTGCTAAAGGCCTCAGTTTCTGACAGTTTCTCACTTGTGTAGTTGGCAAATTTCTGTGACATGTTCCAGTGACAATATGTCATCATAAAGCCCTTGCAGAGGCCCAATTTAAATTTTCAGTCATGGTTACTTAGGGTTATTACTCAGTCAGTGAGATCATTTCAGTCACTTGAGCAAGAGTCCATGTTCCTGTCAAATACACATGGCTTGTCTACAGTTCAACTTTCTGACAGGGGCAGGCCTTGGTAAGGTATGACTGGTGGTGCTTGATGGGTTTGATCATCATCCATGAAAACTTGCACGGGCGTTGCTTGTTGCAGTCTTTTTGCCAGTATATCACATTCCTGCGGTTTAGATTTGCTCCAGCACATGCATCATACCACCAGCCTCCCCCAGGTATACCATTGAGTTCCAGCTTAGCACAATTCATAAAGTAATTGTCATTGTCTCTGTCCTTGGTGGTGAACTTCTGGTTGTCATGGAGATAAGCTTCCGTGTCCAGGGTCAGCGCATCAGTGGCGTTGCCTTTGTAAAGACCAACCCTGATTCGGTATTGAGACTCTTCCCCCTCAATCAGGAATGGCTCATACTGTCCCCATTTGACTTCAGCATTTAGATTTACAAGTTTAACTCCAAGTACATATTGCACTGAGCTGCCAGTTAACTGATGCATGTATTCATTTCCTAACCAGTGGTTCTCATGAACAGAGCCAAATCCATATTTATAGTCCTGCCAGGTTCTGTCAAAGTCAACAGTACTGTTGGCTGTAATGTGCTGGATCACTGTCCAGCCACCGTCCTGCATGTTACAAAAAACAACAATTGGTTCCTCTTTTGGTTGGATGATGTAAAGGCCATCTCTGGAATTTCCTTTGGAGTGCTGTAAAATCTCAAAACAATCCCTTGGATAGTCTGAGAAAAAAAAACCAAAACACACACACACACAAAAAAAAAAAATTAAAGTACATTCTGTTCAAATCATAAATTTCAGAAATTGAACTCTGTCCTTTAGAGTGTCTGAATGACTCTTCTGACTGGAAGCTGACTGACTTCATTGCAGCTGATGGCATTTATTCAGCTAAAGAGGGAAGATTTCTGGGAGGAACATGCAGGAAATATTCAGAAATTCAAAAAATTGTTTGTTACTCTGTCATACAATGGAAGTATAATTTTGCATTTATGGTAGAAATATGGTTGAAAAGCCAAAACCTATTTACAGGTCATTCCTTTTCCACCAGTGTTCTTCTAGTTTGAGTACTCAGCAAGTTTGCAATTCCCTGTGCCATCTGTAGGTCAATTGAGTTTAATAACCAGACCTAGTCTTTTCCTCAATGAACAAATTCATTTATCTTGAACCAATTTATACTTCAGGCACCTCTAACATTCTTGTGTTAAATTCTGAAATGTATGCCATGTGTTCATTGATAGAAGGGAGATATTAAAGGATGAGTTCTTTTCACTCAAACTCCAGGCTAAATTTTATCATGGATTTGCATGTAGAACTACATTTCTGTTCAGTGCTGAACACCAGTATCAGGAAAATAGGTGAAAGTGCTCTTCCATTTTATTGCTCTACCAGAAGACACAGAGGGTAATAAAAATGGCATATAAGGCTTGGGTTGACCCTCTCTATTGGGCTAAAATATTTCCTGGGGTTTTAAAATGTAGCAGGCTTATAAGCTAACTTCTTGCTCTAGTATAGTATCAAGCATCTCTGAGACTACAGCACAATGCTCTGAATTTTACAATTGAATCTGAAGTTTCTTAAGAGTCAGAATATAATTTATTTAAATATACATTTTCATATGTATTCATTTATAGAAAGAGAATTCCTTTTGTAGAGAAGGATGATATTCATTGTTCTGTTACTCAGAAATATGTTTATGAATTGAAATCACTCACTTCTCCATGGAGTTGAAAGGCATGGTCTTATGTCTTTAAACTGTGGAATATTTTAAATTTGTATTTAATAAAAACTTGACAATTTTGTTATCTCTGTGAGAAAAATTCAGTAAAAATTACATTTCCCTGGCTGACATAGCTCACCTGACTTTAAACCTGATGCTATGATTTTATAGAAGGATTATTTAAATAATTTATATGGTGATGTCCAAACCAGCGATATACACAGTGACCCTCACAGCTGCCCTTCTCAGTAAGCGTTACAGAACAACTTCTACAGACAGGTTCAGGACTTTGTGGCAGGACATGGTCATATTGCAAATCATTATTCCAGGGCTAGCTTTCATATATGTTAGTTGAAAATGTTACAGCAAAGCAATAAAGTAAAACACAGAACACTTCCAAATCACTCCTTGTCTTCATGAGTACCTTTTTCATTGGCGTTTCCCAGTCTCTCATAGTCTCTTTGGGGGAGAAGGTGGGCATTAGCCAGGACCACTGGCTCTTTGGTGCCCAGAGACACAGTGCATTGAGAGAGCAAGAACAGCATGAATCCTGCTGAGCCTCTCAATAGCATCTTCCTTCTGCGTCAGTCCTCCTGCAGCAATACAGAACTGTAACACAGGTTGGAGCTGAAAATGACAATATTTGTGACTACTAGTACAAAAGCCCTGAAGGAAAAAGGTTTTGAAATACCAAGCTTCAATACAGTAAGCCTCTGTCAAAGTTGGCTTCTCCCATCTCTGAAGGACCTCTTCTGTCCTGATGTCTCAGACCTCATTTCTGACAAGCCATTCATTTCTCTGACACAGGGTGCTGTGCTGAGACCCTTAGAACATCTCTCACCTGTCACCTTGTGCCATGCTGGGCAATGAAACTTAATGTAATTTTGAGTGTGGCAAAAAGCCATTAAGAGTAATATAAGGACAAAAGAAAAAGCACAACTCTTAATTATCAGAGTTGAATTTTTCTTAATCCCTGAATCCAAACTGCAGTGAAATAGAGACACCAATTGTCAGAGGGACAGAAACAGTAACATTAGTTCTGCTGACTGTAGCTCAAACAGTACTCAGAGGCATGGCTTTCCTATTGCTGGAAAAGTTTCCATGCACTGGAGAGCTCAACCTGAACTATGTTTTTTTGTGAATTTCTGTCTACAGGTTGTAGTAACATGTCACAGGTTTCAATCAGATTTTTTAAAAAAATTACAGTAAACAAAGCAAAAGAACTTTTCTTTAGCCTCTTCAAAACCAACAAGGGTTCAATATACTGAACTGAAACAGCATTGAGCCTCATTTTATCCACCTTTTGGCCTACATATCTATTAATACTTCATTCAGTACAGAAGAAGGCTTAGGCTATTACTGGACCTAATCCTGGGGTCCTCACTTACGCAAATCCCAGATTCCCTGAAGAGGAGTTTCTGTCAATAACAGCTTCAGATGAATCAGGTAAACAAATGTTTCCTGTACTCTCAAAGGATATATTTACTTAAATTCTAACCAAACTCTTTCAATGCTTGTTTAAATTTTATTTTTTTTTTTAAAGACTGGGCTCCCCACAGTGGCTTTGCTGAAGACAGAAAATAGATCCAGCAAAAAAGCTCTTCGGTCAGGGCTGATTTCCTGCCAGAGTCAGCACAGATTCTGCAGAGTCCAGTACCCTTCTCCACAGTGGTTTATGTTGCAACAAAGCCACATTCCTTATAAATCTAATGACTTAGCAGCAGACTCAGCAAACAATTTTCCAGAGTGAAAAAAAATCAACACATTTTTAAAAAATTGTCCAAGATAAATCATTGTAATGAAGTTCAGGTTTGAGAGTTAATTTTTCTACCTACCATACACAAAACCAGCAAAACAAAATTTTCTATTCTACCTAATATTATTCAGTATATCACAATCAGCTATGATTTACTATTAAAATATAATTTTCCATTTCATGCAAAGTTGGTTATTTGACATTGGGATCATAATAAACTGGAAAATTACCTTCCCTGAAATTTGGCACAGTGCTTCCTTTTAAGCATTTAAATTCTGCTGTACTTTTATTTTCTACTGTCATGCATCATTTTCCCTGAAAGCTTTAATTATTTTTGCTGTTATGGAATATTAAATTATAAATTTCTTTAAATCAAACCCTAATCCACAAGCACAAATCCTGATTTTCATTAAATTTGAACTTGGATCTGGAGTTATTTTTTGAACTGTTTTGTTTATCTTTTAGTATTTTTGAAGGAGTCAACATTTTTTTTTCACTTATATTTATGCATTATCATTGAAAATTGATTTACAGATCAATTTAATTCCAGAATAGAAATTGGTATTAAAATTATTAGAAAAGCACCCAAGGAACACAGCACAGGGCAAGCACCTTACCTCTTTCAAGAACATGAATGAGCTCAGTCTCTACAGTTGTACTTTGCCTGCTAATTAAGTCCAGGTGAATAAATCAGATCCAATGTACTATCTCAAATGCAGCAAAATTGCATATTCCTTATTTCACACTGTGCTTTGTCTGCTGGACTTTGCTCTGACATATTGCACTTGCAAGTATGTATGAATAACAAAGTACAAAGTTCTTCCATAATTATTTAAATTACATAGTAATTAAATTAAATTTCCTTTATTAACCATGAAGAAATTTTAGTTCAGTAAGTTATGTTGCTTAAATAGACACCGGCAGATGCTAAAATTTATTATGTCATTTCGCATAGATTAATTAACTCAAAGCTCTACTGAAATATAGTCACATTTAAATTGCACAGAAATTACTTGATTTTTAACTATTAGAAACAATCCAACTATAAACCATGTAGTTACTTCATGTCTTAATGTGAATGAATCAGAAACAGTTGAGCAGAACAGGCTGCTCAACGGGTTTCTATTTTAATTTATGTGGATTAACAAGACTCAGTTAATATTAACTCAGATCAAAACTGTCATGAACTTAATTAATTAATTATTTCTATGTAGCTATGTATCTGAAAGTTCTAATGTCTGTCTGCATGACCTTTAGGTGATGTCTAATCTACATTTACTCTTTCAAAGATTAGACAGCACTTAAGTTTTTGAGCTCCCTGATCCACCCTGCAACCTGTTTTGATCAGATTCTGTCCTTGAAACAAATCACGATTAAAACTTATGAAACATTTAAGACCTGTGCAAACTCTATTTCAGGATTCATGTCAAGTCATAATTTCTGTTCTTCAATAATTAATCTTCAGTGAGGATTTGTATTTCATGTACAATTAAATCAATACCCACAGCCAGTGTTCTAGGAAATATTTCCTTGTAACATTTAAAACTCCATGATCTTTCTCTTGCTTTTTAAAGCAGAAGCAATCTATTACACAGGAGAATGTCCACAGGGAGTCAGAACAGTATCTTCTCCATGACACTGATCAGTAGTAGAGCTACAGGGAAAAGTTTAAGAATGCATATTCTCTGCTTTCAGCATTATGAAGCTCAGGGAATTTCTGATATTTGTGTGTTTGTCAATATCTAATTTATGGCTGGTGCCAAGTATTACAAGCCTTGTCTAAGGCATGAAAATACTGTATAATGGTAGTAGCTTATGAAATATAAAATTGCTTTGAACAGATACACATCTTGCTGAAATAGTATGCTAAGAAAAGGTAGAGGAATGCACCTTTCCACTCTGTCCATATAGATACAATCTAAAGAACACCATTGATCCTAGTGGTATTTATTGACAGGCATCTCATCACCCTGATATAAATTGTGCATCTTTGGTGCCTTTGATTCCCAAATATTTCATCACTGTTTATCTCCTCTCCTGTCTTTCCATTTTTCTTTACTTTCTTGCTGTTTACTTCTTTGTTGATTTCCAAACTTTCATCTGAGCTGGCAGAGCAGAAGTGAAGTGGGAAGTGTTTAATTAGAAGAGAGAAGGGCATCAGCATTCATTCTATCATGCTCAGAAAGGCATCTATTTTTGTAGACGAAAACTTTGAAAAACAATTAAAATCTTTGCATGTCCCTCTCTGCTCTTGATTCTGAGAATAATTTCTCAGAAATTATATCATGATCTTAAGGTCAGAGTACTTTACATAGATATGATTTGATAATATACAGATTTCAAAATAGAACATTGCTACAATGACTTGTTGTTAGCCATATTAATTAAGATACTTCATTGCTTAGCCCAGTGACCACATATTCCTTCTCTACAGTATGCTGAAGTTTTAATTATCCTTCTAATTGACAAGCATTCATTTAAATTTTTCCAAATCAGGTCCTCCTGTATGGAAATACTCTTTACACATTCTTTATCCATATGGCCATCTATCCAGCCTGTTCAAATCCCTCTGCAGAGCCTTCCTGCTATCCAGCAGACTTCCACCCAACTTGTTGTCTGTAAACTGACTGAGGGTGCATTTGATCCCCTTATCCAAATCATTGATAAAGACATTAAACAGGACTGGCTCCAAAACTGGGGAACACCACAGTCACCAGCTGGATGTACCATCACTCACCCCCACTCTCTGGGCCATGTATCGAGCCACTTTCTTACCTGGAGTGCACCTGTCCAAGCCACAACAATCCAGTCTCTCCAGGAGAATGCTGTGGGAAACATTAAAGGCTTGACTATGGTCCAGGTAGACAACATCCACAGGCTTTCCCTCATCCACTTGAGTGGGTCACCTTGTCATAAGAGGGAGACCCTGTTGATCAGGCAAAACCTGCCTTTCACAAACCCATGCTGTGTGGGCGTGGTCCCCTGATTGTCCTGTATGTGCTGTGTGATGGCACTTGGGATGGTCTCCTCTATGAGCATCCCTAGAACCAAGGTCAAGATGACAGGCCTGTAGTTCCCAGATCTTCTTTCCAGTCTTGTGGATGGGTGTTGCATTTCCCCTAACCCTCCTGGTTAGCCAGGACTGCTGATAAATGGTGGAAAGTGGCTCAGCGAGCAGTTCCGCCAGCTTCCACCTGGCCCCACAGACCTGAGTGTGTCTAAGTGGCATAGCAGGTCACTGAGCATTTCCCTTTGGATTATGGTGACTTCATTCTGCTCTCCATTCCTGTCTTCCAACTCACAGGGCTGAGTAGGTTGAGAACAACTGGTCTTGCTGTAAACCACTTCAAGCACCTCAGCCTTTTTCTTGTCCCTTGTCACTGTTCACCCCTGCATCCAATAAAGAATGGAGATTGTCCTTAGCCCACCTTTTGCTGTGTTTGTAGAAATATTCTTATTCTCTGTCAGGGCAGATTAAATTCTGGTTGTGCTTTGACCCTTCTAATTGTATTCCCTATAAGATCACATGATCTCTGTAGTTCTGAGTTTCCTGCCCCTTCTTCCAAAGGTCATAAAATCTTTTCTCTCTGAGTTCCTGTCCAACTTCTCTGTTCAGCTAGGCCACTCCACCATCTTTTGCCACACGGGACAGCTTGCTCTTGCATCTAAGATTTCCCTCTTGGAGAATGTTCTGCCTTTCCAGACTCCTTTGCAATTCAGGATGGGGGCCAAGCTCTCTGGAAGTCCAAGGCAGTTCTGCTGGCCCACCTCTTTACTTCTCCAAGAACTTAAAAATCCATCATTTCATGATCACTG